ATATGTCATGGGCATGCTGACTGGATCTTAGGTGAGAGTCTAAGAACACTCCCACCACCTCCTGCTATGGGGAAGATCAATGAGCCTGATCTTGAGGGTCACTTACAAGTAGTCACAACCACTGTCACAAAGGCAGCAATGACTGCTATACTCAGAAGACCACTTTCTATACTTTTGACTTAGGAAGCTAAGACAAGAGGATCTCATATTAGTGCCAGCCTGGGCTGCCTAGTGAGACCCTTTCTCAAAACAATAGCAGCAAACAGAATCCCCTCCCTTAAGAGAAAACAGCACTCGGATGCTTGGCAATGACTAAGTGCATAGCAATGGAGGTGAGACCCAAGGGGGCATCTGGGGCTGAGGCCACAGAGCAGGTGGGGACAGAGGAGAAGCAAGGAGACTTTGTTGAAGGGAAACTTATGAAATGGTCTTGAAGATATGGGCTGCATTCTATCCACAGCTACCTCCCTCCTTTTTTCCCTCCCTCCACAGACATTTGATGCTCCAGACCCCACTGACAAAGCACACAATGCCCTTGCCTTGCAGCATGTAGTCTAGTGCTAAAGACAAGACTCCAAACCCAATGCCACAGGCACTGTGGGTGACACTACAGGATACTGTGGGAGGACCCAGGTCACAGAACCCACATGGGACATTTGGAGAAGGCCCCCAAGAGGAAGTGATATGTCAGCTAAGGCCTTATGGGGGCAGGGTGGGAGCCTTACAGAGCTAGGACATAGGAGCATTCCAGGTAGACACAGCCGCTTCTGTGGCAGCACCACCCACCCAGAGAGATGTTTCCACTTCCAAGGTTTATGGCTTCTCAGCCGATCTTGTCTCACTTGGTCCTCAGACCTGCTCATTTCCCTGCAACTCACGAGGGTCGCCTCGCTTCTCTCTGCTCTGATTCTGCTTTCTTCCTACTGCCCTCACAATGTAGGATTTGGGTACTGCTGGAGGTTGGGAGCTCCCAGCTTGCTCTCCACTTCTCATCTCTCTTTCCAGAACCTGCTCAGCATCCCTAGTTCCATCACTTGCTGTGGTCTCTTCCGGGGACCAGTCCTTTGAGCTGCTCTCAGTTTCTAGGGGCTATTGTATGTGGACCTGACCTCTTCCTTGTCTATAACCTCTTCAGAGCCTGCCCTGCCTTCCCTTCACCTCCTCTGCTCATCTCCTAGTGACCTCGTGACTGTTTCACCTCTGGTCTTCTTGCCTCCCCTCCCCTCCCCGATACGGAATCTGCATCCCAGACTCAGCCTCTGCCTTCCATGTGTTTGTACCTGCAGCCTGTCAGGTATTTCTCCTGCTAATTTTACACTGTTTTGGATGGCCTCATCCTTCCTCCAGTGAGCCCTACTGTGTGTAGATAAATCCAGCACTTACAAGGGCATCAGCCATTCCCTTCTGCCTGCTATAGCAATTTCCTGTTTTTCTGTGTCCTTGACAACTGCTGTAGGCTCTAGGCAAATGCACTCTTCTGCAACTATCCACTTTCCAGACCCCCAGCAGGATCACTCTCAACCACCTTTGCAACTGGGAAATGATCTCTGATTTATTTTGTCTTATTTATAGATTTTGTGGTATTATTACTTGTGTTTTTGTTGTTTGGTTTGCTTTTCAGAGACAGGGTCTCCTTAGCCCAGGCTGGCCTTGAACTTCTGCTCCTCCAGCCTCCACCTCTCAAGTGCTGGGGTTACAAACATGCACCAATGTTCCTGGTCTCACGTATGCTGGGGATGGAACCCAGAGCTTCACACATGCTAGACAGGCACTCTGCCAACCAGGCTGTATTCCCCACCTTTCTCTTCCTTGCGTCGTTCTCCACAAAACTCCCTCAGACAAGGTCTCATGTAGCCTAGAGTGGCTTTGAACTCTTGGTCCTCCTGCCTTCACCTCCCAAGTGCTGGGATCATAGAGGTATGCACCACCACACCCAATTTGTGTTTGGTGTGTTGAGGTAAGTTCTCACCTTAGCCCAGACTGATGTCTACAACCAGCAAATCCTCCTGCCTCTGCCTCCCCAGTGCTGGGATTATAGCTGGGAACCACCACATCCAGTTTCGGGTTTTGTTTAACGTTTTTGAGATGCTGATGATTGAACCCAGTGCCTGAACATATTGGGCAAGCACTCCTTCACTGAACCACAGCCCCAGCCCCCTCTGGCACTTTCAGTCTATGGAGACCTTCCTGGGGTACTTCATCAGTATCTCCTGAGCGCTCGCCATCTTCAGCCTGGCCTTTTGGTTCTTCTCCCCCTATACCTCAGGTCAAGGGCTCAGACCCTTGGACCTGTGGATATGAGCTCCTACACACAGCTTCTATACATCAACAGCACAGTAAACAAATGTGGAGTAAAGGCAGGAGCATTGTTTCAACAAGACCAAAATAAATAAGTAAGGCACAATTTAAGTCTTTTCTGATGTCACTGTTGGGAATTTCACATTAAAGTGGCAGTTATCAGACCTGGAAACAAAGGTCCTGGCTTATCGTATGTTTCATTTATCCTTTGAGCAACGTCTTGCTAGATAGCTCAGGCTGACCTGGAACTCTCTTGGAAGTTCTCACAGTGGTAGGATTACTGGCATGCGACACTATACCTGGCCACCCTGGACATTCTTTTGTCTTTAACCATTTCACAGAAAGTCTGAGTGGTGCTCCCTGCCCACACCCTGAGGGTGAATCTGACCAGCTGGTCTTGGTCTGTTATTCTCTAGATGATGAGAACTGGAACAGAATGAGCCAGGCAACACAGTTTTGACTTCTGGGAAACACTGTTTTATCAGTGACCCCTATACCACAAAATCTGTAGACTTCACCATTCCTATCTCTCTCTATGACTTGGGGTTTCTGTTCCATCCTTGTGGCCCACACTTCCGACTCAGTGAGCAGAGCTTACTGTGCTGATGTCAGAGTGAACAGGCCTGCCCAGGCCTGTGGATAGTCTGCAGATAGGAAAGGGCAGGTCTCCACAATGTCTTCAAGGCAGTGAGTGGAGTCTTGTGGGGGTGGGGCTCTCAGGGCTCCACCTCGTGACTGTGTGAGGCTGTGCTGAGACATTTTGAGCCCCTTCAGGAGGCTTCCTATAGTTCTTTCACACACACATTCTCTCTCTGTCTCTGTCTCTCTCTCTCTCTGTCTCTCTCTCTCTCTTTCCCTGGCTCTCTCTCTCCCTCTCTCTCTGAGAAGGGACAAGAAAGCACTGCAGAAACCCCATGGCTCCCAAGCACTCTGGCTTTGTTGCTGTCCTTGGAGAGGCAGGGAAGGCAAGAAAGCAGAAAAACCAAAGCAAGAATTGTCTCAATGCCTAGGGGGAAGGTCTGGCTGCAGGAATGCGCCCGTGGTAGGAGGAAAGCTAGTCTTGGGATTAGTAGATGTAGCTACACCTCGGAGAACTGGGATTGGTGAGTTCAGGGTTAGGGTTAGTTCAGGACAATGAGAAAGGCTTCTTAGAGGATTAGGAGAAAAGTGGGAAATGTTTAAAATATGCTCAATACAGTGACACCAGGGAGTTATCACTTTCTGTTATTCCTAAAACAGTGAGTTGTTGTAAAGCCCACCTTGGCCTTAAACCTGTAATCCTCCTGCCTCTGCTTCCCGAGTACTGGGATTACAGGTGTGTGCTACCATGCCTGGCCAAGTTAGCACTTCTTTACAAACAAAATTCAGACACCTGGTAATTAAAAGCCCCATGGAGCCGTGTGAATCCAACAGAACCTTCATGTACATGGGAGGCCAGTGTAGGTGATGTCTGCCCGGAGCAACAAAGTCCTAACTGCAGACTCCACTCCAGTGATGGATGGAGGGGCAACACCGGGTGATGGGAGAGACTGTGGTTGTACAAAGATGCAGCCCCCACAGCCAAGTGTGCTGGGATTGGTCCTCCCTGACAGCTTTGTGGACAGCACATGTCCTTCCTACGAGACCATAGAGAAGGCCACTGTCATCCTAAAACAGCATAACCCTGGTAGTAGAAACAGAATCCCAATCAGACAGGCAGGGCACTGTCTACCCATCCAGAGCTTGCCACTACTTTCTCATAATTTGCTTTAGCTGCTTTGCAATAAAACTTAAATCATAGAGAGGCTTGAGAGGTGAGAGGCTCATGGTTGAGTACTAACTGCATTTGCAGAGAGGACTGGGATTTAATTCCCCGTACCCACAGCGGGGCTTATAACCATCTGTCACCCCATTTCCATGGGATTCGATGCCCTCTTTTGGCCTCTGCAGGCATCAGGCACAAATGTGGTGCACAGACATACATACACCCCAAATACACATACAAATGAATTTTTAAAAATCTATAGGCAAGGTAAAGAATTGTGACCTGGAACGGGTGTTAGGAAAATGAATCCTTGGGTCAAGTGCCTGCTGAGCAAGCACCGAACCTGAGTTCAGATCCTTACACCCACATGAAAGCTAGGTGTGACTGATACATCTGTAACCTTGACACTGCTGGGGCCAGGATATAGAGACAGGTGGACTCCTGGAGTTCACTGACCAGCTAGTCTAGCTAGAGGCAAGAGACACGTTCAAAAGATAAGAAAGATGTAGAGAGATGGTGGACATCAACATCAACCCCTGGCCTCCATACATACGTACAAACACATCACACACACACACACACACACACACACACACACACACACACACAATGGCTTTTAGCCTAGACCAGCAGGTCCAACCCCAGGCAGAATGAAAACAAGACAAAGAAAATGGTTTGTAATAAGGATAAAATAAAACAGGAGCCATGGTTGCACACTCAGAGGTTGCATGCCCCCACATGTTTGAAATAGGACCCTGGTCTGCTTTACTTTGTCCAGTTTCTCCTGGAGCAGCTGTGCTCTGGGCTATTTCCACATTCTAGACCAATTCTCATAGCTCACCACCACTGAAGAACCATCCCTGAGCATCAGTCAGGCCCTCACACTTAGTTGGTAGAAATTTCACTAACAGGGAGAATTGACATTGTCATTTACTTGTGGCCAATTTTTGTTTTTTAGGGAGAAGAAAATGGCTTTCCAGACAGCACTGGAGATCCCCTTTCAGGTAAAGGATTGACTAAGGTTAGGGCATTGGCAATAGCTGGACAGATACATTAGAGTTATTCAGTGAATGTGTGTATCATTAACTTGTGCTATGCGTGTGGCTTTATAGCTATTTGACAATCAGCAGTTAACTTTCATCTGTGTTGATTATAATTGTATGTGTGTGCATGTATGTGTGCCTGTGTACATGCGTGTATTCATGAGTGTGCATGTGTGCATGCATGTGTTTGTATATGTATGCATGTGTGTGCATTCCTGTGTGCACAGGTATGTACCTCAGTTTTTGAGACAAGCTCTCACTAGGACCAGGAGGTTTCTGATAAGACTAAGCTAGCTGGCCAGGGATCTCCTCCCTCTGCCTTCCCAACCCTGGAACCACAGGCATGTCACCACACCTAGTTTTTTTACACAGGTTCTGGGGACTAAACCTGGGTGCTTGGGGCTTGCACAGCAAGCGCTTTGCTGAATGGGCTGTCTCTCCAGCCCCAATTGTACTTTACTTTTAAGCAATAACATGTCTCAGGTAACCAAGCGTAGAGCTTACCCAGTGACTCTTCATCCTTGTTATGCTTTCTGGGTACAGTAAGGGACGTTCCTTATTCCTGTGACCCAAACACCTCTGCGCAGCCTGGTGTCGGTACATACATTTGGAACACCATCTTTCATGAATACGTTCCAATCTCTTTGAGTGCCTGAGGGATTCACCTATCGAATGTGTTTTAATGGTGAATTCTCGGTCACTTCTATTCTTTATATAATCCCTTCTGAAAGGACCAAGTAACACCGAAGAGGGCAAGGGATTGTGGGAGGGGAAAACCTATCAGAACTGTTTATAACCTGCATGCAGAATAGAGTGACTTTCCATCCTAACTTGGCATGATCAACTAAATAGCAAGGTGTGTCTTCATCCATGTCTGCCCGCCATGCAATGCCATACTCAGATGGAACCCAGGGCCTTCACATGTTAGGCAAGTGCTCTGCCTCTGAACTGCATCCCTAGTCTCCAGAAAATGTCTAGAGAGGTTTCCCTCTGATCTAGCCCTCCTTCATCTGTGAAGGGTAGATGGACAAGTTTAGCATTTGGGCCACCATCAGGACCCTGCAGTTTCTTGTGCTACAGCTGCTGACCTGTAGTTACTCCTTGCGACTATGGTTTCCATCACAGTTGTGCATCTGATGTCTCCGAGGGAGCTGTGAAAACTCCCATGCCCTGCTGTCACTCCACACTAATTACAATAGAGTCTTGGTGGCTGGTCCAGATGTGAGGAGGATTTTCCCCCAGGGGTCGGAGGGAATCAGTGGGTTCCATCCCAAGTGAAGTTGAGGAACAGTTGCTTCTCTAGAGCCATTATCCTAACCCACAGCTGTCCACTGGGCCGTGCTGTGTGTTTGAAAGGGGCTTTAATGGATGATGTCGTTAATCCTTGAAGCCACTTTTGAGACCAGTGTCTGTGTTCACAGAGAGAGACTATGGCTTAGCATACTCCTGTGCAACAGGCAATCTGCCTGGCCACAGGGGGCCTTATCCCTAGCAACACTCTCTCACCTTTCATTTTCTTCCTGGGCCTCCATGGTTCAAGCTGGTCTTGAGCTAGCTATGTGGCTGAAAATGCCCCCTGAATTTCTGATCCCCCTATCTCCACCTCCTGAGTACTGGGCTCGACTGATGTGCACCCGTTTTATGCACTGCCACGAGTTGAATGCTGGACTTCAAGAAGGCGCACACCACCCCTGCCTTCCCTTCCACTTCTGATATGCAGCTAGGAGAAGTGACATATGATTGTACCTTCTTCCCTGGAGAAGCAAAATCCTCATTTATTCTCCTATTTAGCAAATACATATTTAATTTCTTTTTAAAATATTATTTATTTTTTATTTTTAATTATGCGTATGGGTGTGGCTATGTGAATGCTAATGCCCAAGGAGACAGAAAAGGGCGTGAGCTCCCCTGGACCTAGAGTCACAGGAGGTTGTGAATATCCTTAACTGCTGAGCCATCTTGCCAGCCCCTACTTTTTTAATTTCCAGAGAGAATTTGTCATTGGAGGAAGGGCTTGTTCCTTGTGATTCCAGTAACCGTCATTTATCCAATGCCTACTGCCTGCCCAGGCCTTATCTATAACTTGGGAGGCATCAGAAATGCTCCCCCAGGCCTGATGATTTCTTTGTTCTCAAGTCTCTCTTTCTTCCTCAAGATATCTCAAAGTTTGTCCTTTCAGATAGAATATTGCGTGAGATATGAGAAGTAGTCAAGGTATGGGAGGGATAAATGTATTTCATAAAAAAATAACCCCACTATCTAGAGTTTATGATTTTCTTTTCAATTTCTTACACATGGTCTTTATGTATATATAAATATATTCTCTATTTATATATACTTATGTATATTACATTTCTTTTATTTTTTACATTCCAATCCCAGTTTCCCCTCCTTCCTTTCTCCCTGCCCTCCTCTCCTTCCCCCATCTTACCTCCCATCCACTCCTCAGAGAGGGTAAAGCCTCCCTTAGGATGTCAACTAAGTCAGACAGGGTCTTTCTGTGCAGTCCTGGCTGGCTTGGAACTCACTAAGTAAATCAGGCTGGCCTAAAACTCTCAGAGATCTTCCTACCTCTGCCTCCCTAGTGCTTGGGTTAAAGGTGTGTGCCATCATGCCGTCAGGCTTATGATTTCAGCAGGCGGTTTGAAGTCCTCTCATGGATCAATTCATATGGATTCCAGTTGCTTTTCCACGTTATTCCCTGAGGTGGGGTCCTATCTATCCAGGCAGCTTGCTCTGTGGATCCTGTCTCTACCTTCTGAGGCTGTCGCACTCACACAGCATTTACAGAGGATGGGGGAGGGTCAGTCTGAACTTAAGTCCTCATACTTGTTTGGCAAATGCTTTAGCCACTGAGTCATCTCCCCGGGCCCTGTTTTATTTATATTTGAGACAGAGTCATGCTATGTAGCGCTGGCTGACCTGGTACATAGGCTAGCATGGCAAATACTTTATCGGCTGAGACATCTTCCCACCCTGCCTCTGTTCAAATTTCTTACTCTCCTAAAGCCACCCCTCAGTGACATCATGCGTAGTAATGTGTCATCTTATAGTAAAGTCACATCCCCACAAATTTCCAAGCTTCTGATCTTTAAACCCAGATCCAGACTCTGGAGACAGCGTTGTGTAGTTGATACTGCTCAGTGGATGTATCCACAGGATGGTGCCACCAAGGGCTTTAGTGAGTGACTTCCTAATACCTCTTTCCCACTAACTTCACCTCCCACTCACGTTTTTACCTGATGTTAATAAATGATGCCCAGAGGACTGAAGCGGAGAAGGCCGCTCTTCTGGGGTGGAAACCAGTTTTTTTTTTTTGGGTGAGGCCCAGGTTAGAGCCTGGTGCACTCCTCGGCCTGCCTCCAGCTCCCTGCACACCCCGGGGCTGCTGGCCACACTTCAGACAGAGCCTCTGTGAGTGAAGAAAACAGATAAAGCAGAGGCATGATAAGGAAACTATAAATCCCAAAAGTCAGCTTTCTGCCACTAGCCATGACAGATATGCTTTTTGTTTTCACATATGCATGTGCAGCAGGCAAACCTGTTTTCTATCTTTTCAAGAACTTTTGAGGGGTTGTGCAATCACAATGACATCTTCACTTGCTAGGTTTGGTGTTAGAAGCTGCCAGGGAGGCCAGTGAAATGGCTTAGTAGGGAAAGGTACTTGATGTCAAGCCTCATAACCTGAGCTCAACTCCCAGGTCCTACATGATGAAGGGAAAACAGTCCTGCAGTTTGTTTTCTGACCTTCGCAGGCTGTGGCACACAGGCGCCTGTGCACATACACAACAACAAGAAGAAGAAATGTAAATTTAAAAACTGTCAGGAGCAGAGGGTTGTGTGCGCAAGCATGAGTTGGTCCTGGAACCCTCAGCCTGGTCAGTGGCCCTCCAAATGCATTCTGGAACAGAGGAAAGGCATGGATGGATAGAGGTTGGCTTTATCAACTCTAGCTATTGCTTCCAGCTGAACAGCCTTTCTTTTCCTATAGAGTAACATTGTAGGAGGAAGAGATCCCTGGGATTTACTACCCAGCCTAACCTACTTAATAAGTTCCAGGCCAGAGAGAAATACTGTCTTTTGTTTGTTTGTTTGTTTTTGTTTTTCCAGACAGGGTTTCTCTGTATTGTTTTGGAGGCTGTCCTGGAACTGCCTCTGGAGACCAGGCTGGCCTCGAACTCACAGAGATCCGCCTGCCTCTGCCTCCCAAGTGCTGGGATTAAAGGCATGCACCATCAACGCCCGGCTGAGAAATACTGTCTTAAAACAATAAAAACAGCAACAATAACAACAGAACGAACAAACAACAGACAGGCTCAGTGGATGAAGTTCTTGCTATGTACCTATCTAAAAGTAAAAACCAGGTGCCTCAGAGGCAATGTGTATCTGTAGCCTGAACAGTGGGTCCAGATTCAGGTAGATCCCTGAGGCTTCCTAACTGGCCAGGCTAGCCTAATCTGCTGATTCCAGACCAGTGAGGGATCCTGTACTAAAGGTGTGGGGGTATGGGGTGGCACCCAAGGACTGACACCCAAGGTTGTCTCTGACCTCCACTCATCTGTGCTCACTTGCATAACACAGAACAACACCGTGTGAGCAATGAGAAATGACAGTTCTGGACTATTCCAAGGAAGGCAGTGGGACGCTTTGATGGTGTTGCCAATATGGTAGGAAAATAAAGGGAACATTGCTTGTGTACGTCAGGCCCCTGGCTAACCTGCCTCTCTGTCATCCTGCAGGTGTCAGGAGAAACCAGCCATGTAAGGAAGGCTGCTCTTGCTCCTCCTGTTTGCCCCGGGTCCCCACCATCAGCGACTTGCTCAATGATCAGGACTTGCTAGATGTGATCAGGATAAAGCTGGACCCATGTCACCCAACCGTGAAGAACTGGAGGAATTTTGCCAGCAAATGGGGCATGCCCTATGACGAACTCTGCTTCCTGGAACAGAGGCCCCAGAGCCCCACACTGGCGTTCTTATTCCGGAACAGCCAGAGGACTGTGGTCCAGCTGATGGAGCTCTGCCGACTTTACCACAGGGCTGATGTGGAGAAGATCCTGCGCAGGTGGGTGGATGAGGAGTGGCCCCACCGGGGACACTCGGACCATTCCATGCACTTCTAGAATCCCCTTCTGGCATTGGCCTTTCTGCTTGCTGGACCAGCACGGATCACAAGGAGTATGTACCTGCTCTTAAGATTTTCAGATGAGGTTGTGGAATGGGCAGTGGTTGCCCCTGAAGCTGGTGGCTTGTGGAAGGATGGGTTCTGTTTTAGTGGCAGGTGTTTGTTTCCTTTTGCACATCTGTTTTAATTTAATATTTGAACCTGGAATTGGGGAAGAATATTTTATAAGTCTCATAGGGCCAAAGCCTATGGTTGGTACAGAATCATGCCAGCACAGAAAGAAAAGAACCCTCTCCTTTGATACTGCTAAAGATTGCCACAGAATTCCTAGATGTTGATATCTCTGGACATGTTCACGTCATCCATGCAGAACCCTTGCATTCCCAGCCTAGCAGAAGATGGCATGGAGAAGTCACCCTGACCTGTTCACTGTTACTGTTTCTGTTGTAAAGGATTTGGTGATCAAGAGGATACTGTATGATGTGGTCCGGATCCAGGGGCCATCTTTATTATTCAAACACTTGTAATCAATGGGCTAGCGATACTATCATTGGATTTAGTGTTTTTAAAAGAAATACAAAATTTATGGTTTGTAGGAGAGCAGAGTGGATTAGTGTCATGGGAATGGCATTGACAAAGAATAGCACTCAGTGTTCCCTCGCTGGGGCTGGGGAGATGGCTCAGAGTTCAGGTCCCCAGAGCCCACATAAATGAGGGGATGGTGCGGCAGCCTACATGTGATTCCAATGCTCAGAAGGGAGAGACAGCGATCCCCAGAGCTAGCTAAGACTAGTCACAAGGGTGAGCTCTGGGATCAATTGAGAGACTCTTTTTCAATGAGCAATGTAGAGACTGAAGAAAATTCTCAACATCAACTTTGGGACTCTATTTATACACACATGTACATGTGCATCCGCATCCGCATGCAACATCAACAACACACACATACAATGCCTGCTTGTTATCCATGCCTCATTTTTTTGGTGCTAGGGATGGAATTGAGGACCTTGAACATGCTCAGCCGGGGCTCTACCACTGAGCTACACCTGCACCCCTGTTATTCATATATTTTTTTATTCTTCTCTTATACACTACATCCCAATTGCAGTTTCTCCTCCCTCCATTGCCCCCAGCTTCCCTCCATACATGGCTCCTCTTCCTGAGATCCGTTCCTCCTCTACTTCCCTTCAGAAAAGAGCCGGCCTCCCGGAGATATCAAGCAAACCTGGCATAACAGGATACAATATGACTAGGCACGAACCTTCACATCAAGACTGGTTTCTGTTTTTTATGAGAGCCCCCCCAAAGCTGGGCATGGTGGTGTGCACTTTTAATTCCAGTGCTGGCAGAGCAGATAAGCTGATTCCTGAGGCTCGGCTGCCAGCTAGCCTAGCCTATGTGGTGAACTACAAGCTGGTGAGAGATCCTGTCCCAAAACACAAGGTGAACAGTGTCCTAGGGGCAACACCAGAGGCCGTCCTCTGGCTTCCACATGCATGTGTACACACAAGCTCACAGACCCACACACGTATACACTGATATTAAGATAAGCAAAAAGGAAGAATAACGTTGGCTACATAGGACAGATATATTAAGATGAACTCAAAGGAAAGTGATTTTGGCTTTTATCATAACAATTAGGTTTTTCCTTAGGTTGTTGGAAGTAAAGTCAGCTTCTCACCCAGTGTGACCTCAGAGCAGTCTAGTCTATAATGAGATTTGCCTATCACTTCTGGTTCACTAGTAATCACACCCTACCCTGCTCAGATTTATCCCATTTATGTCCACCTTGTTGCCAGATATAATTAAAGTGACAGCTAATGATCAAATGCAGACATTTAAATGTCTTCAGATTTATTTTATTTGTATGAATGTTTTGATTGTATGTATATCTGTGCACAAGCATGCTTGGTGCCTGTAGACGTCAGAAGAAGGTGTCAGATACCCTAGACCGGGGATTACAGGCATTTATCAGCCTCCGTGTGGGTGCTGGGAATTCGCAAGCACAGTGGTGGTTGTAAGTGTCCACTGAACTTCCTTTCTAGAGTTGGGTAGGCAGGGCTAGAGAGATGGCTCAGCAGTTAAGAGTGCTTGCTGCTCTTCTAGAGGACCAGTGTTCAATTCCCAGCACCCACATGGGGTGGCTCACAGCTGCCTGTAACACCAGCTCCTGGGGGATCTGAAACACTTTTCTAATCTCCAGGAGTACCCCCACACACACACAGCATGCAGTTACACACACACACACACACACACACACACACACACACACACACACACACCTAGAAGTAAATCTCTAAAGACCATGTCAAGCTAGGGCTGAGAATGCAGCTCAACTAGTGCTTACCCAGCATGCCCAGAGCCCTGGCTTTGATCCTCAGTGCTGCATAAGCCAGCATGGTGGTGCATACCTGCAATTCAAGCACCTGGAAATGGAGAGTTTGAGGCCAGCCTTTGCTATCTGTGACCCTGCTTCATAAACAACACAAAATGTCATGCAAGCCATGTGCTGTGGTGCATGACTGCCACCCCAGCATTTATCTTATTATGAGAATTTTTATTTTGGTTTTACGAGACAGGGTTTCTCTGTATTGTTTTGGAGGCTGTCAGTCCAGCCCGGCCTCGAACTCACAGAGATCCGCCTGCCTCTGCCTCCCGAGTGCTGGGATTAAACGTATGCGCCACCACCGCCCGGCTGAGAGAATTTTTAATTGTTGGGAGCATGGAATCAGCAGAGAGAAATTTCCTGAAAGATTTCTTCAAGTTCATTCTGACTTAAATGTAAGATGACTTTGATCCACGTTGCATAAAGAAAGTCAGGGAGTATTGATAGCTGAAGTACACATCAGCTCATTTAAAGTTAATGTCTGGCCAGTCAGTTCCTCAAAAGCACAAAAACTTCACAGAAGGGAGAGCAGGGGGGAAGGAGGTCATTTAATGACTGACTGTTTAAGAAATTATCACAAGCTTAGTCATCACTTTTTAAATATCTGTTCTTATTGTTTAGTTACATGTCAGTGTGTGCGTATATGCACATGATTTAGGTATTTGTGGAGATCGGAGGTGTCAGATCCCCTGGAGCTGGAGTTCCAGGTGGTTGTGAGTTTCCAGACATGGGTGTTGGGAACTAAACTGAGGTCTTCTACAAGAGCGGTACGATGAGCTGTCTCTCCACCCCATCATCATTAACCCATAAGTGCTTTCTATCCTGGGAACCTGTGAGCACAATATAAGCTGCATGAGATAAGGTTGTTTTCCTATTACAATGTTTAAATCCCCTTAGCTGTGTTTCAAAAAAAATTTTTTTCTCTCAGCAAAATTTCCATCTGTAATGGTCTGTTATGAGGCTAAAAGTTGTGTACATTTTATTTGGTTGCAATAGTGAAGAGTCAAATGAAATGAAAAGACTCAAAGCCACACTGGACAGCTGTACACACAGTGACAGATTACACACTTCTGGGGACCCACACTGGAGGAGGCACACAAAGACATGGTAGGCAATATTAGCATGGGGACGTTTTAACCAGTTAGGGCTTGCAGCTGTGATAGGATGTCCCGCCTGTGCCTCTAAAAGACCCTGTACAAAGCAGCCACCTACTTCTGTAGCAATGAATAGTGAAACTCATTAATACAGGAAATCTAGTCAAAGACTGCAGTTCATCCAGAACAGTAATTGTAATACAGTGCTGCCCCCTGCTGGAGGATACACTAAATCGGTTTCCTTTTAGAACCTGGCTTGGTTAGGTGCCTTCCAGGTAGCCAAGCCCCACTAAGACAGAAAGAGAAGGGATATGACTGGCACACATAGACATTCTATAAGGATGGCACTCTCCTGGCTCCAGGATGTGCCTAGCATAGTGGCTGCAGAAGAGTCCTGTGACCTGGTAATCACCTATCAGCACTTAGATGGACTTGTCTCCACAGGACGGAAGGCACAGTTGTGTCTGTTGGGTCTCTTCCTCTCCCAGTTTAGCACCCTAGGATACCATGATGCTGTAGTCTTCTCCTCACCTGTCTTCAACCAGCTACATTACAAAAAGATGTGTTTCTAAAGACAGGCTTATTAACAAAGGTGAAACAGATTTTTTTTTTTCTCTTCTGTCCTCTCCTTTTTAGGCAATTAAAAAGATCTCATTTGATTTTGAGTGAAATCTTTCTTTCCTCCATGTCTTTAAATTTTCCTCCGTTTGAGGATATGATGCTGCTGTCTGTGCCGTTTGTTCAGGGCCATTCATGCATGCATATCTCAGATCGCCTTCCTCCATCGGCCAGCGGTGTTCCCCCTCTGAGCTAGCAGCAAACATCTGCTTCTTGTTCTCGTGTGTACACACAGAAACAATTCTGTGGACCTAGCAGTGCCAAACCACTCTCTACTCTGGGTGCTCCAAAGTCGAAGGCTGATGTCAACTCTCGTAACTGAAAGACACACACCTACATATGCCCAGGCAGTGACTGAGAAACATTTGCTGTCTCATTGCTGCCTGGAACTCAGACCCCATCCTGAATCTCCTGGGTGCTTGATTATAAATGCACAAGGAAGGGTGACTTTTGCCTCTATTGTGTTTAGAGAGAATCGAAGCCAAGATGCTGGGCCAGATGCTGGGGCTACTGGAGTCCCAGCATTGGTGGATAGAGCATCTGTGGGTACCCAAGACCTAGACTTGAAGGACCTGGTGGAGCAAGGCCTGCTGTCTTCCTTCCTGTGGCTGCGGAGGGGGAGTGCTCTGGGAATTCTGTGGCAGGGGATCCAGGGGATCAGGTGTACCGAAGGGACTGAAGTAGTCAGGGATACAGCTGGAAAGAAAATGATGAAATCATCCAGCACACTTGGAGGTGTAAGGAGGAAACATGTCAATACTTCCTGGGTGCTCTGTGCTCCTACGTCCTAGTGTGACAGTCTAGTGACCACTGTCTGCTGCAGCACCCCCTTGGGAGCTTATGCTAGACATTTCAGCCTAAGAAGGTAAATCCCTGTGTCCCCAAATACCATCTTTATACCTGGGTTCTATCCCTGTGACTCTGTCTACGTTTTCATCTTCTGTATGATTCTGGTTTTCTTATGACTAAGGAAAGATTTTTATAACTGTAATAATGGGTGCTACAAGATTAAAGACTGATGTCAACTGTTGTTCCAATGGATGCCTCGTTTTTTAATGTTTATGTGTCTCTGGGAAGGGGTGTTTTGTATGTGTGTGCATGCATGCAGAGTCCTACTTTGTGTAGATTTCAGTGTGGCCATCAGCCCACGCCTTGTTAGCACCATCATCCATTATTTGAACACCCAGTGGTTTGCTGAAATGTGTCCCAGATGCTGGAGACGCTAAGATAAGCAACACAGCCCTGCACTCCAGGAGCTGTAGACAGGCAGTCACTGAAGGTAAGGACTGATAGGACTGGAAATGTGGGCAAAGGTGGTCCAGGGCAAAGATGGTCCAGGCACACTCAGGAGGAAGGATGAGCAGTCAGCCTTCCAGGAGTCTCCAGTGTACTGTGCCTGTATGTGAAGAGCTGTCTTACCATTACTGCCTGCCTCTTCTGACCCAGTCCATCCTCTAAGATATCTATGGGCTTGATAGCTCTGATTGGAGCCTTATCAACGCCTCAGACTCAACCTGATCCTTGATTCTTCTCATAGTTTTGTTTTCCACCAGTAGCTCAGGGCATCCTTAAGACTCTCCTCCTCTTCCTGGTCTATTTCTCTTTGGGTTGGTTTCGAGACAGGGTCTCGCTATGTAGTCCTAGCCGGTCTCTAAAGCAATACTCCAACCTCTGCCATCTGAGCCAATGATTATGAGTGAGTGAGTGTGTACGTGTGTGTGTGTGTGTGTGTGTGTGTGTACACAAGTGTGCCCATGAGCATGCATATGCAAGTTTGCAGGTACATGTGATATGCAGGTATACACGCATGTGGAGGCTAGAGGTCAATCTCCAGGTCTCCAGCCTCATTCTTCTGGTGCCATCTACCATGATTTATTTTGTTTGGGTTTTTTTGTTTGTTTGATTTTTCAAGACAGGGTTTCTCTGTGTAACAGCTTTGGCTATCCTGAAACTCACTCTGTAAACCAGGCTGGCTTCGAATTCACAAAGATCCACCTGTCTCTGTCTCTGGAGTTCTGGGATTAAAGGCACCTCTCGGCACACCTTGTTTTTTTTTTGAGACAGGATCTCTCAGGTATTAGACTGAGCTGGCTGGCTAGCAGGACACACACACACACACAGAGACAGAGAGAGAGACAGAGACAGAGAGAGACAGAGACAAAGAGAGAGAGACAGACAGAGAGAGAGAGAGAGAGGGAGGGAGGGAGGGAGGGAGGGAGGGAGGGAGGGAGGGAGGGAGGAAGAAGAGAGAGAGAGAGATCCCTGTGTCTGCCTGGCAATCACTAGGATTAGGATTACTACATCTCACCATGCAGTTTATCTAGCTTCTCTATAATGGGAACTGCTCCCTCTCTTTAGACCAGTGCTTCTCAACCTCCTAATGCTATGACCCTTTAGTACAGTTCCTCATGTTGTAGTGACCCCCCCACCATAAGATTATTTCATTGCTGCTTCATAACTGTAATTCTGCTACTGTTATGAATCATAATGTAAATATCTGATATGGGAACCCAAAGAGGTCCCAGACCACAGGCTGAGAACCACTGCTTAGACTCACTCCCCACTGCAGCTCATCTTTCGTGTGTCTGCTAGAGCGACCCAGTATCAAAACCAAACAAGTTGTTACCTGCTTGAATTCCTTGCTCTCCTCATTCTCTCATCACATCCAAACAAAATTATCCCTGTCAGTTTAGACAAGGAAGACTCTTTGTGACTCTATCCAGGGACCTAACACATGTCTGTTTTGAAACTATCACAGCTTGACTTAAGCCATTAGCAATTATTACGGTTGTCTAATTACAGTTCAAAAACTCAATGTAAAATGCAATTTCAAAACAAAGAAAAAAATTTAAGAAAAAAAATGCAGTCTAAGTAAAACATGCCATTGGTACCTCACAGCAGAAGTCTGCTCAAGTCCATGACGGATTCACTTTTAGTCTTCATGAAAACAGACGGTTCTTTGACACAGCACTTGACAGAAACACATAATGGACATTGTTTTGCCTGTTTCTGGCAAAGCTTCCTGAAGTGGGAACAGGCAGGGTAACCATGGAGATGATGAATTAATAATTAAATGTTAGGTTGGGAAGATTTCAGAGTTGGGGCCAGATTCCTTCAAGCTTCATTCAAGCAGCTGTTAACACCAGAGAGCCAGCTCTTTGTTGATCTCTGAGGAATTAGACCAGGGAGGTGCCTGCCCAGGGCTACCCCCAAAGGCCTGTGAGCTCTCAGACCTTGTAATCTTTTCCCACAAGTATCAGCTTGTTTACAGGAGCCAGCCCCTCCCCCATTACAATGAGTAAAGAGAACTTTGCAAGGTGGCTCAGTGGGTGAAGGAATTTACCATCAAGTCTGACAGAGTTCAATCCCCAGGACCCACATGATGGGAATAGAGAACCATCTCCCACAAGTGTTCTCTGACCTCCGCATGTGTACTCCGGCATACACATGTAAAATTTGTGAGTAAAGGTCATTTAAAAATACTAACTCTAAGCAGGGCGTTGGTGGCGCACACCTGTAATCCCAGCACTCGGGAGGCAGAGGCAGGCGGATCTCTGTGAGTTAAAGGCCACCCTGGTCTCCAGAGAGAGTTCCAGGACAGCCTCCAAAGCAATACAGAGAAACCCTGTCTCGAGAAAAAAAAAAAAGAAAGAAAAAAGAAAAAGAAAAAAAATTACTAACTCTATGCTGAATGTTTTTAAAGTGTCAGTAACTTCGTAAAGGAAATCTTCAAAGCTCCATGTATCTGATTGGTGTGTGCGTGCGCACAGGCAGGTGCCCAGGGTAAAGATATAATCCCAAGGACCCCCTCCCCCAACAACCCACTTCCTCTAGGAAGGCCCTATCCCCTGAAGGCTCCACAAGCTCCCCCAAACAGTGCCACCAGCTGGAGACCAAGATTCCTAACACATGATCCTGTAGGGGACGTGTCATATTCAAACCATAGCAAACTTACGACGTTCACCCCTGTTCTTAATTAAACAAATGTGCCTCCCCTTCAAGCCTCCTGGCCTGGAGACACGCATATCTGAAACCTGAGCGAGGAGAAGATCCATTTTAAAGTTGCTTGACTTCCCTGCAGGGTGGTGGGAAGCTAGGCTGGCCGGCCAGTGGGCATCTGTCGCCCACCTCCCAGGTGCTGGGATCACAGGTGTGTACCATGGTGCCTGGCTTTTGTGTGGGCACTGCAGGTCCTCATGCTTGTGTGACAAGCACTTTACTGAATGAGCCATCTCCCCAGCCTGTGAATGATCCCCTAGATGCTGGAGCCCTGTGCAGTATTTGCCTCTCTCAAACCTTCGGGGTTCATCCATGCCAGGACTCACAAGAGATGGCTCCGGGTCCCCCAGTGGATGCCATCATGTACATGTGATCTAGAGTCATCCAGCCATTATGAAGAACTGCTAGGATTACCACAGATGCCAATTGCCTGAAGTGCTAAAGGTCAACTTGGGCTTCAACTTTAACCCCACCCAAGTCCTATTCCAACAAATGGCTCTGTTTCCAGAAACAACACAGCCTCTACTCCCAGAAGGTTCAGTCAGTGGTAGGGGCAGCTCTAGGGGCTAGCCTATGGCAGGCAGCTCTGGGGGCTAGCCTATGCCAGGCAGAGTTTGATGAGACAAGCATGTGGATGTGACTTCTGACTCTGATTGGTGGCTCTGCACACACCTCTGCCCCGAGTGTCTACAAAGGTAGGTGTGTTAATAAAGCTGGCTTGGGTTTTCAATAAAAGATGAGGAGGAATATGAACAGAGGGGATCTGCTCTCAATGCCAAGCTCGAGGCTGGAGAGATGGCTCAGTGGTTAGGAGCACTTGCTGCACTCATGAGTAGGGAAGAGACAGGGGAATGACTAGGGCTTGCTGAATTCCGGCCCAGCTGAGAAAACACAAGCCCTGGGTTCAAAGGAAGGCACTGCCTCAAAGGAACAGGCAGAGAACAGTAAAGGAAGACACTGCCTCAAAGGAACAGGCAGAGAACAGTAAAGGAAGACACTGTCTCAAAGGAACAGGCAGAGAACAGTAAAGGAAGGCACTGACTCAAAGGAACAGGCAGAGAACAGTAAAGGAAGATACTGCCTCAAAGGAACAGGCAGAGAACAGTAAAGGAAGACACTGCCTCAAAGGAACAGGCAGAGAACAGTAAAGGAAGACACTGCCGCTGTACTGAAAACACTGACTCTAACTAACCTGGGAGAAGACGGGGTTACTTGGCTTATGGTTTAGAATCTATCAGAGACCCAAGGCAGGGGCTCAAGGCAGGAACTGAAGCAGAGGCCACAGGATCATCAGCCTAGGAAAGGCATCACCCACAGTGGCTGGATCCTCCCACATCAACCGTCTGTCATGTGAATGCCCTGTAGGCATGCCAGCAGGCCGGTGTAATGGAAGCAGTTCCTCAGTTGATACTCCTCTTCCTCATGACTCTAGCTCATGTCAAGTTAACAACAACAAAAAGCCAACACCAGATAACTCGTTCTGGCCTCTGAATAAACACATGTACATACACATGTGCATGTGTACACACAGAGAGAGAGAGAGAGAAGAGAGGAGAGAGAGAGAGAGAGAGAGAGAGAGAGAGAGAGAGAGAGAGAGAGAGAGAGAGAGAGAGAGTAATGAATACGGCAGTGAGATGATTCACCAGGTGCAAATCCTTTCTGAATAAGCATGACAATCTGAGTTTGATTGGGGAAACCCGAGTAAAGGTTGGAGGAGAGAAACGAGTCCACAAAGCTGCCCTCTGACCTCTCCATGTTCACCACAGCAGGTGTGCGCACACACTCACACCCCATACACACACATCATACACATACACACGACACACACATCATACACATACACACCACAGACACATCATGCACACACATAATACACATATATTCCATACACACACATATCATACACATACACACACCATACACACTCTCACCAAACACACAGACAGTAATAAACTCTCTAAAAACACTAACCCTTGAGCTAAAGTATCTGGGTGAGTTTTATTCTTTCCAAGATTCATTTTGTGTTTTGTTTTTTCCA